ATGTCTGTGTCTCCTATGACAAAGAGGCTGTTTAAGAAGCATTGACAATAGAGAAAATTTAGAGGTTGTCCTTTTTTATTTGGAATCCCTGTGTGAAGCAAGGCAGCTTATTCTCTGATCCTAGCATACATTATGTGCCTTCTACTGCCAACCTATTTGCCTTTGTTGCTTATTTTTTAAAAACCTACTGGAATATCCTCTCTCTTGCATCCAAAGCTTGAAAACCTGGTAAGGAATTATACAAGATTCAACCACTTGATACCTACTTTCATGATTCCAACACATCCTAAATTAATTTGTGAAATGAATTTGTCATATCTCATTTTATTGTACGGAAACTTTTTTTTTTTTTGAGACAGAGTCTTGTTCTGTCGCCCAGGCTGGAGTGCAGTGGTGCAACCTCTGCCTCCTAGGTTCAAGCGATTCTCCTTCCACAGCCTCCCAAGTAGCTAGGATTACAGGCATGAGCCACCACACTTGGCTAGTTTTGTATTTTTCGTAGAGTTTGTGTTTTTCCATGTTGGTCAGGCTGGTCTCGAACTACTGACCTCAGGTGATCCACCCGCCTCAGCCTCCCAAAGTGCTAGGATTACAAGCATGAGCTACCTCGCCCAGCCTATTGCACTTCACTTTACTGTGCTTTGCAAATACTACTTTTTTTTTTTTTTTTTTTTTTTTTTTTTTTTTTTTTTTTTTTTTTTTTTTTTTTTTTTTTTTTACAAATTGGAGGGTTTTGGCAACCCTACCTCAAGAAAAGCCCGTTGGCATTTTTCCAACAGCGTGTGGCTCACATCATGTCTCTGTGTCACACTTTAGTAATTCTTGTAATATTTCTAATGTTTTAATTATTGTTATACCTGTTATGGTGGCCTGTAATTTGTGATCTTTGATGTTATTGTTGTGTTTTGGGGTGCCATGAACTGCACCCATGTAAAACAGCAACCTTGACTGATAAATGTGTGTTCTGACTGCTCCACCAACCGGCTGTTCCCCCATCTCCCTCCTCCTGGTATTTCCTATTTCCTGAGACACAACAATATTGAAAGTAGGGCAAATAATGACCCTAAAATGGCCTCTGAGTGTTCAAGAGAAAGGAGGAGTTGCATTCTTCACTGAAAGGAACCAGGAATCCTTTGCCGCTATGGATGAGCAAAGAAAGTAATTCCTTGAGATAGTATCTACTCCTGGTAAAAATGCTTTGAACATTGTTTAAAAGCTGAAAATGATTAAGATTAATGAGAAGGGCATGTCGAATGCTGAAATAAGCTGAAAGCTTGGCCTCTTGTGCCAAACAGCCAAGTCACATGTATGAAAGAAAAGCCATTGAAGAAAATGAAATTCCTACTCCGGTGAACACATGAATGATAAGAAAACAAAACAGCTGTGTTGTAGATACAGAGAAAGTTTTAATGGATTGGATAGAAGATAAAGCCAGCCGCAACGTTCCTTTAAGCCAAAGCCTAATCCAGAATAAAGCCCTACCTCTCAATTCTCTGAAGGCTGAAAGAGGTAAGGAAGCTGCAGAAGAAAAGTTAGAAGCTCTAAGAGGTTTAAGGAAAGAAGCTGTCTGCATAACATGAAAGTGCTAAGTGAAGCATCAAGTGTTGGTGTAGCTGCTGTAGCACGTTATCCAGAAGACCTAGGCAGGACCACTGATGAAGGTGGCTATGCTAAACAACAGATTTTCATTGCGAATTAAATAGCCTTATGTTGGAAGAAGATGCCATCTAGGACTTGATTGATTTATTTATTTTTGTTTCTTAGTAGAGACAGAGTTCCACCTTGTTGGCCAGGCTGGTCTCGAACTCCTGACCTCAAGTGATCTTCCTGCCTGTGCCTCCGAAAGTGCTGGGATTCCAGGCGTGAGCCAGCATGCCCAGCCTAATCTAGGACTTTAATAGCTAGAAGGAGAAGTCAATGCATGGCTTCAAAAGACAGACTGACTCTTCCGTTAAGGGCTTTAAGCTGGAGCCAATGCTCATACTGTTCTAAAAATCCCGGGTTCCTTAAGAATTATGCTAAGTCTGCTTTGCCTGTGCTCTAGAAATGGATCAACAAAGCCTACATGACAGTGCATCTGTTTAAAGCATGGTTTACTGGATATTTTAAACCCACTGTTGAGAACCACTGCTCAGGAGAAGAAAAAAAAAAGTCCCTGGCTGGGCGCGGTGGCTCAAGCCTGTAATCCCAGCACTTTGGGAGGCCGAGGTGGGTGGATCATGAGGTCAAGAGATCAAGACCATCCTGGTCAACATGGTGAAACCCCGTCTCTACTAAAAATACAAAAAATTAGCTGGGCATGATGGTGCGTGCCTGTAATCCCAGCTACTCAGGAGGCTGAGGCAGGAGAATTGCCTGAACCCAGGAGGCGGAGGTTGCTGTGAGCCGAGATTGCGCCATTGCACTCCAGCCTGGGTAACAAGAGTGAAACTCCGTCTCAAAAAAAAAAAAAAAAATCCCTTTAAAAGTTACTGCTCATTGACAATGCACCTGGTTACCCAAGAGCTCTGCTGGAGATGTACAAGAAAACTGATGCTGTTCTCGTGTCTGCTAACACAACATCCATTCTGCAGCCCATGGATCAAGGAGTAATTTTGACTTTCAAAATTTAAGAAATGCATTTTGTCAGGCTCTAGCTGCCATAGATAGTGATTCCTCTGATGGATCTGGGCAATGTAAATTGAAAGCTTCCTGGAAAGAATTTAACCACTCTAGATGCCATTAAGAACATTTGTGGGCCGGGCGTGGTGGCTGATGCCTGTAATCCCAGCACTTTGGGAGGTCGAGGTGGATGGATCACCTGAGGTCAGGAGTTCAAGACCAGCCTGGCCAACATGGTGACACCCTGTCTCAACTAAAAATACCAAAAACTTAACTGGGTGTGGCAGACACCTGTAATCCCAGCTACTTCAGGAGGCTGAGTCAGGAAAATGACTTGAACTTGGGAGGCAGAGGTTGCAATGAGCCAAGATCGTGCCATTGCACTCCAGCCAATGTGACAAAAACTGTCTCAAAAAAAAAAAAAATGTGTGGTTCAGGAGAAAAGGTTAAATATCAACATTAACAGGAGTTTGGAAGAAGTTGATTCCAACCATCATGAGACTGAGGCTTTTAAGACTTCTTTGGAGGGACCAGGCACAATGGCTTTCGCCTGTAACCCCAGCACTTTGGGAAGCCAAGACAGGCAGATTGCCTGAGGTCGGGAGTTCGAGACCAGCCTGACCAACATGATGAAACCCCTTCTCTACTAAAAATACAAAAATTAGCCAGGCATGGTCGCGCTTGCCTGTAATCCCAGCTACTCGGGAGGCTGAGGCAGGAGAATCGCTTGGACCCAGGAGGCGGAGGTTGCAGTGAGCTGAGATCGAGCCACTGCATTCCAGCTTGTGTGACAGAGCTAGACTCCATCTAAAATAAAAAAGGCTTCCATGGAGAAACAAACTGCAGGTATGGTGGAAATAGCAGAACAACTTGAATTAGAGGTGGAGCCTGCAGATGTGCAGAATTGCTGCTTATGGATGAGCCAAAAAAGTGGTTTTTAGATATGGAATCATTTCCTGGTGAAGATGCTTTGAACACTGCTGAAATGGCATCAACGGATTTAGCATATTCCATAAACTTATTAGATAAAGCAGCAGCAAGATTTGAAAAGACCAAAGACCGACTCCAATTTTGAAAGAAGTTCTGCAGGTAAAATGCTATAAAACAGCATCACATGCTACAGAGAACTCTTCTATAAAAGGAAGAGTCAGTACAGCAAACTTTATTGCTGTCTT